CTACGACTACGTCTACGACTACGACTACGACTACGACTACGACTACGACTACGACTACGACTACGACTACGACTACGACTACTACTACTACTACTACTGCTACTACTACTACTACTACTACTACTACTACTACTACTACTACTACTACTACTACTACTAGTGCTACTACTACGATGACGACTACTACTACTACTACTATTACTACTACTACTCTACTACTACTACTACTACTACTACTACTACTACTACTACTACTACTACTACTACTACTACTACTACTACTACTACTACTACTACTACTACTCTTATATCTACATATTGCAGCAAAGCGGTCTCCAAATCGCGGCCGCATCCGCGATGTGGCGCTGTCCCGTGGCGCTCTGCCTGGGGGAGTGCCGCGCCTCCGTTCGACCACGTGGAGAAGTCCCATGGGGCCGAGGGGAGCACCGCCGAGCGCGCCTTCAGCGGCAGGGGCTGCGGCATTGCCTGCTGCCTCCCCTACTCCTGCCCCTCCCCGCCCAGGCCTCCAGTCGTGGCGTGAGCAAAGATCTGGGCGGATTCGCTCAGTGCCCGTTCCTGGAAAAGATCGCCGCCAGATGCCTGGGTGTCTCGCCCGACCCTCCGAAGAGATCATGTCAGATGCTCCCTGCCAACTCTGCTGCTGCAGCTCTGGTCTCCAGCGGGGCTCGCCCCGGGCCAGATCGCAACGGCACGGGCGAGGACGATATATGGACCTTCCTCCTGCCTGCCTCCCTTCCTCGTTCCCACCCTACCATCCCTGACTGCCTCCCTACCTCGTTCATTCCTTCCCTCCCTGCCTCGCCCAGGCCGCCCGATTAGATCGTGAGAGATTCTCTCCTCTCAGCTGTGCCGTTGCAGCCCCGCTCTCTGGCAGTAAGGCTCCGTGGCCCGCCTCCATGGTCTCGGAGTCGAAATCGTCGGAGGTGGTGAAGGGCGCGAAGCCCTTGCCGCCGCCGGCCTGGTCGCGGGAGGCGGGAAGCTGCCGTAGGAGGAGGCTATCCAACTCCGGGCAATCGACGGTGCAAGCATGACGCTGCTGGATTTCTTGCTTTCATGCGTGCAGTGCCGTGGCAGGGAGAGGCTAACCAAGAACCCGATCCCATTGGAGAATCTTTTGGGAACCCTCGCCAAGCGCCCCGAGACGGTGTACGCGTGCACGGTTTCCCCCAGGGCTGTAGGCGACCCGAGGAGGGGGAGGATGAGGAGGAGGAAGAGGAGGAGGAGGAGGCGGAGGAGGAGGAGGAGGAGGAGGAGGAGGAGGAGGAGGAGGAGGTGGAGTAGGGGAGGGTGAGAAGAGATGTACTGATGGATTGATGATGATATGATTATGATGATGATGATGATGATGATGATGAATGATGATGATGATGATGATGATGATGTGATGGTGATGATTATGATGATGATGAGATGATGGCTGCATGGTGATGATGATGATGATGATGATGAGGAGGAGGAGGGGAAGGAGGAGTAGGATGAGAGGAGGAGGGAGGAGGAGGGAGGAGGATGAGGGTTGAGGAGAGGAGGGGAGGAGGAGGAGGAGGGAGGAGGATGAGGATGAGCATGGGGGGGGAGGAGGAGGAGAAGGGGAGGAGGAGGGAGAGGAGAGGTAGGAGGATGAGAGGAGGAGGGGAGGAGGAGCGGCAGGAGGAGGAGAAGGAGGAGGAGGAGGAGGAGGAGGAGGAGGAGGAGGAGGAGGAGGACGGGTCGCCTAAGCCCTTCGGAGACACCCTCCAGGTACGGGGGGTGGGAGCTAGTCTCAGGAGCCAGTCTCAAGCCACGAAGCGGTCCAGTGCTGGTCCACCTCTCTGATACGGCCGCCTGCACGGCCAAGCCAAGCACGAGCAGCGAGAAAGAGCCCTTCGTGGAGCCTCCAGTTACGAGTCCTCGCTTGTGCGTGGTGCCGAAGAGCGAAGGGACGACAGGCGTTCGTGGCAAACTGTGCACTTGAGCCGAAACATCTCTGGAACGCTGCGCACTCGCAGCTCGGCGATCGCCACGGCGTTGTCCTACGAGGCGGGAAGCGCAGGCGGCAACGGCACGAGGCAGCCGACGCGAGCGGGACGAGGGCCGCCGCTTGCAACGCAGCCTGGCAAGCCTCAAACTGGCTGGGCCCCTCCTCTCTCCCACGCCCCCCCTCCACTGCGCAAGCATAACACTTTCCGAGGCCCACTCGGTGTTCTTGGATCGGTGCTGGACCCCCATCCCTGGCGTGCGGAGCGCGCCAGGGGCGGCGCTGGGGGCGCTGCCAGGAGGGTCCATCGCCAATCTAGGGAATCCTCACGGACCTCCCGAAATTTGATGCTTCTGAACACTCTTCTTCTTCTTCTTCGGCTACTCTTAGGTCGGGCACGCCCTCCTACAGGCGGACTTTGGAAGATGAGTGAAACATATTCAAGCAGAATTCAATTTTTTAAACATAGTAGAAGAATCGTCCCCAGACTCCTTTTTGACTACCCTCGAGTATTCCTCTTGTAGAGGGACGTGCCCGACTTGAGACGGCTGCTCGCCCCCCATCCTCTCTCGAGCTGCCGCCCCCGGTGCGGCACGAGCGCGGCGCGAGAGGGGGGGGGGGCTGGCCACGAGGTTCCCCAGCGTGCTCTTGCCCTGCCCGGTCGGCCCGACCATCACCTCGCCCGAGCGCCCTCCCCCCACCCTCCATGCTTGGAAGGAGGAGGAGGAGGAGGAGGAGGAGGAGGAGGAGGAGGAGGAGGAGGAGGAGGAGGAGGAGGAGGAGGAGGAGGAGGAGGAGGAGGAGGAGTCGCAGGCCACTTGCGAGTAGAAGGAGGAGGAGGAGGCGGAGGAGGAGGAGGAGGAGGAGGAGGAGGAGAGTGGAGTATAGTGGAGGAGCCAGGGAGAGCGCAGGCGGGCGGCGGGGAGGGGGCAAATGGGCGGCGGGAGGGCGAGGGTGGCGAGCGAGGGGCGAGAACGAGAACAGGCGGGGAGGGGGCAGACGGGCGGCGGGAGGGCGAGCGCGGACGGGCGGCGAGGGCAAAGGGGGCGGCGGGGAGAGCGAGGGCGGACGGCTGCGCAGAGCCAGGGGGGGGGGGGGGGGCGAGTCCCAGCCAGAGGTCGCCCTGGAGAGCGTGACCGTGTGCAGAGGTTCACCAACGGTGCGCTCGGCCGCCAGGGCAGCTCTCGCGCGGGGGCGTCGTGAGGAGAGGACAGCTGCAATCGCCTCAAGAGCGGTCGCTCCAAGCATCTGCTCGCTTCGGGACTCCTCTGCGCACGAGCCGAGGAACGTATCGACGCCCGCGTTGCTCGCGGAGGCGGAGGCAGGGAGCGCGAGGGCTCGCTTCCGGATCTGGCCAACGAGCTCGGCGCGCTCCCCCCGAACCGCCGACAGACACAGCTCGATTCAGAACGACCGACGTTTCGGCCATCGTCCACATCACCCGCCTGGAGCACCGAGGCGTGCGGCGTGGCGGGCGGGCCCTGGGGTGCCCGCTGATGGCAAGGATGCGCGGCATGGACGCGAGGGGCCCTGCACGCCCAAGCGAAGCTCTCGGAACGGCGCACGGCCAAACTCCCAAAGGGCGTTCTGGGGCCTGGCGAGAGCCCCCAGAGGCCGAAAACGGCCCCGAAACGTTGTTTTTCTATGTTTTTTTGTTTTTTGTTGTTTTTTCGCCGACGCGAGCATGTCTGGGATTGCAGGCCCTCGCGCAGAGCTCCAGGAAGCGGCCGCGGCGCCGCTTGAGGGGCGGCGGAGGGGAGCGGAGCGTTCCCCGACCCCCGACGTTCTTGTTTTTCCCAGACGTCGGCGCCCGCAAGTCTCGACCCATTCCCTGGGACCGGCTCTTCATCCCGAGTGCGGTCCGGACGCTCCTGGGGCCTGGCGAGGGCCCCCAGAGGCCGAAGACAGAGCAAAACCCTCCGTCGTGGTGCTTTCCTGACCCGAGGGGGCCTCGGTTGGCGGGCGGGCCCCTCCCCGAGCCATCGCTCGGACGTCCATTCCCTGTGTTTTTTCTTCGGTTTCGTGCGTGGTTTTTTCGCCAAATGATCAAGGATGCTCCTCGATAGTCCTCGCCGATGGAGAAATTCACACGTCCGAGCGATACCAAGTCCCTGACGCGGGCGGGCGGGCAGGCCCCGAGGCGGGCGGGCCAGGGGCCGGGCGGGCCGGCGGGCCCCGTGCAGCTCGGGCGGGCGGGCGGGCCCCGTGCATATCTTGGGCGGGCGGGCGGGCGCCTCCCTGGAGCGGCCGGCGCGGCGCGCGCGCCGTGTGGCGGCCGACGGGCAAACTCTTGGGCCCTCTGCTGCCGATGCTTGGGAGGAGGAGGGGGAGGAGGAGGGGGAGGAGGAGGAGGAGGAGGAAGAGGAGGAGGAGGAGGAGGAGGAGGAGGAGGAGGAGGAGGATCTGGAAGGCCGATTCTTGGGAGCCCCCCCCGCGCCCCCGGTGCAGCACTGGCGGGCTGCGCCGCAGTGCGCCGATCTGTCCACATGCCGCACTCCCGTGCCCCGCCTGGCGAGGCCAGCCGGCCTATGATATCGGGGGGCAGGGGGGGCGCGCGGGGAGGCTTGTGCAGGCAGCCTGGCCGCGCGGGTGGTGCGAGATTTTGGGAGGATGGGAAGCTGGGAGAATTGGATCACATCCTCCGCATTACCGCGCATGCTGAGTACTGATTACACAGTCGTGAGCTGTATCTGACATGCTCGCGTCGTGGCCAACCATCGCGGCGGCACGCTTTCGGCCTCAAAAGGCCGGGCCTCAGGACCGTGAGAAAACCTACGCGGGATAAAAAGCCCGGGCCACTAGGACCGCTAAAAACCCGACTCGAGGGGAAAAGCCAGCCCTGGGAAAAAGGTTCAGGACTTCCGGGGGCCCCCGGTGGAAGAATCCACACATCGGATGTCTGGGGATGCCCTGACCTGCCTTTTTTCTAAAAAAAACCGACTCGGGAGGAAAAAACGGGTCATGACTTCTGGGGCCCACCTGTGGAAAAATCCAAGCATCGGAGGTCTGGGGATGCCCTGCCGTGCATCCCCTCATTGCGCGCGGGGGTCCTGGAGCTGTCGGCCCCCTTTCTGCCAGGGGACGGATGCTCCATCCTGGAGCATTGGCTGTCTGACAATTCCCGGAGCTCGCAGATCGCCCCAGAGATTGAAATTATTTGCGACATGTACCGCCGCCTTCTCCCTGGGGGGGTACAAGCTGCTGGATGTGTGCGTCCATCTCCCTGCCCCTCCCCTCCAAGGCCAGCCTCCCCAGAGGTCCATGGAGGCATCTGGACTCTGGAGGCCGCTTCTTCTTCTCCTCCTCCTCCTCCTCCTCCTCCTCCTCCTTTTTTTTCCCTCTCTCTCTCTCTCTCTCTCTCTCTCCCTTTTTTCCTTTATTTCTTTATTTCTTTCTACTTTCTTTTCACAAGGCATGTGCGGTTCGACTCCAGACACTGGAGGCCGTTGGCGGCCTCCAGAAGACCTCGGGAGGTCTCCAGCGACCGCCAGAGACCCCTGGGAACGCCCTCCTCCTCCTCCTCCTCCTCCTCCGCCTCCTCCTTCTCCGTTTCTCCTCCTCCTCCTCCTCCTCGCCGCATTGCATGTCCACTTAGCGATTCGCACCCCCTTAAACCCTCCCTCCTCCCCTCTCCTCCCGTCCTCCTCCTCCTCCTCCTCCTCCTCCTCCTCCTCCTCCCTCTCCTTCCCTCTCCCTCCCTCTCCCTCTCCTCTCCTCCCTTCTCCTCCCTCTCCTCCTCCTCCCCTCCTCCTTCCTCCCCTCCTCCTCCTCCACCTCCTCCTCCTCCTCCTCCTCCTCCTCCTCTTCCTCCTCCACCTCCTCCCACTCCCTCCTCCCTCTCCCTCCTCCTCCTCCCTCCTTCCTCCTCCCTCCTACCTCCTCCCTCCCATCCTCCTCCCACCTCCCTCCTCCCTCCTCCCTCTCCTCTTCCCTCTTCCTTCCTCCTCCCCTCCTGCTTTTCCTTCTCCTCCTCCTCCTTCTCCTCCTCCTCCTCCTCCTCCTCCTGCGCCTCCCCCTCCGCCGCCCTGCTGCCCACCCTCCCCCCCAAAAGCCTCGGGCAGTCCGACCTCTCCGGGCCGCCGGGCATCCTGAGAGCCCTCGACCCCTTGCCACGGGGGCCGCCTCCTGCACTGCGGGCGCCGCTGCCCGACGGCGCTGGGGCCTAAGGGCCCCCCCCGCCGCGTTTGTTCGGCGGGCCCGTGGCGCGGAGCCCGGCGCCCAGATGCGAGCGACGAGAGCCGCGTGCCAGTGCCGCCTCGCCAGAGGTGGGGGCCGCGCGCGAAGCGACGGGGACTGGAGTGCGGGCGGGCTCGGGCCACGAGCAGGAGGACACACGGGGTCGGCTGCCCTTCCCACGTAACGACTCTTCCTCGCGGGCTCCACCTCCGAGCCCAGCGCCCGCGCGAACACGGCACCGCAGCGGCAAGATCCGTGTGATGCAGAAGTGATGTGAGAAGGAGGGATCGGCCCCCAGCAGGCCAGGCACCTCGAGAAGCCTCTCGAAGCCCCGAGCCGCCAGAGGCCCGCGCCCCCCCCAAAGGTCGCCATCGTCAGCTTGCCCGCCGCGTCCGCGACGCCGCGCGCGCTCCGGGGTGGCGGCGCCGCCCGCGCCGCATTGGGAGACATCGGACCTCCCCTCTCCCCCGGCGTCTCCTCGGCCCTCCTCCTCATCGACTCTCCTCTCTGGTCCTCCTCCTTTTTTCCTCTTCTCCTCCTCCTCCTCCTCCTCCTCCTCCTCCTCCTCGCCCTCGATCCGCATCCTCACCGATCTTCGTCCTCCTCGACGTCGTTTTCTTCAGCCCCAGCCTCGACCCCCCCCTCCTCCGACGCAGTTGCTCGGTATTTCTCCGCGACTGTCGGCCCCTGGCGGGACGAAGGCGGCCCTATGAGGATCAATTCGCGCGAGGGCAGATCCGAAGCTCTGAGGAGTCCGGCGGGCCTCCGGGTGCCAGCTCCCCCGCGGCGGCCGAGGGCGATAATTGCCGCGCTCGAGGGCGAGGGGCGAGGGGCCAGGGGGGGCGAGCGCACCCCAGGGAGGCGACGCCCGACCCGGACCTGGGCCGGTCGGCGTCTCGCAGGCCTGGGCCCCGAGGGGGCGGGGCACCCCGGGGACCGACGCTGCGCAGGTGGCACCACCCCCAGGAGGTGGGGCAGGCACCGGAGGCGGGCCCGGGGGAGAACGGCAGGAGGCAGGGGGGGGGGCGGGCCTGAGGAGGTGGGAGGTCGGCGCCTCCGGGGCCTGGGCCCCGAGGGCGGGGGCCGCCGCCGGCTGCCTGCCGCGCGGGTGCCCTCCCCGCGGCCGACGCCCGACGCGCCGCGCCCTGACGCCCCGGGCCTCCGCACCTCCACGCCCTTCCGCGCGGCGGGCTCCGCCGGGGCGCGGCCGCGGCCTGCTGCCTCTGCGGCAGCGGCGGCGTGGTCTGCGGCAAAAAGGGGCCCCCAAGGATGCGACTGCGCAGCCAGCGCCGCCCAAAGAGGTGGGCGGGCCGGGGGCAGGAGGGGAGAAGGGGGCTGGGGAGAGGGAGGGGGCAGGAGACGTGGAGGGGGGGAGGGAGAGGAGGCGGGAGGCAGGAGGAGACGGACGGAGACCAGCGGTGCCCTGTGCCAAACGAAGACTGGGGACAACTGATCCGCAGGAAGTCTGGGTCCTGATCCTCCCCGTGCCCTGGGCGTAATGGTTGTGTTCTATGCGGGGCTCCCGGAATGCTCGACATCTTCTGGGGAGCAACTCTCTCATTCTGGAAAACTGTTTGACGGTCCCAGAGCCACGAGAAGGCAGGCGGATGCTTCGAATTGTGAAGACCTCCGTCTAGGTGTTTTCAGGACGTGTGACGTCTCGGTCCAAGAGCCGAACATCGACCTCTCGACGTATCCTGAGGCGTTGACGAAAACCTCGAAGAGGATCTAGCAGTGTCGACGAAAACTTCCTTGGAGGCCCACAACGAGTGAGAAACGCCCAAAAACCTCAATCATCGGTGAGCCGCTACGGGTTTCCCCAACCAAAAACGACCTCCATACCCGTCCAGGAGTGGATGCAGCCCAGAATTTGGAGGATCCAACCGCGGCCGCGAGGGCACACCAAGAGGCCCCAAACGCTAAAGAAAAATCATCCTCGGATCTCGAACGCCCCTCAACCCAGGCCTGGAACGGGTAGACATTTCTAATCCGCGGGCCTCAGATGTCCCGACATCCTCCCCAGAGTTAGTTTTGTTTGTCGGTTTGTTTCTTGTTTTTAATCGGACCCGCTTTTGATCGCCCTTTGGCCTAGAGCGGGTCCCTGGATTCTAAGATCTAAGAGATTCTTCACGACCCCTTCCGAGGAGGAGCGGTGGCGATGGTGTAGAATGGCAGCGACGGCGGGCCGCCTCTTTTGCAAAGGGGATGGACGAAGGGAGCGTCGGCTGCTATCACTACCAAGGACCTTCCCTGAGATCCGACGGCGCGAAAAGTTGCGACATGGTGCGCAATCGCGGCTGGAACCCTACAGTCGGGGCCTTGACCTAAGGAGCCCTAAATAAGGAACGAGGCCCCTTCTTTCCATAAGTTAACCTTCGACTTCCTGTCGAAAACATAAGGAAAGCCTGAGGCAAGCTGTGAAACACTTAAGGAACGCTTAGCCCCTCCCCAACGAAAAGGGTTCCTTGTTCAGGGCCCCGACTGTAGACCTATCGTTCTGCGCCATTTTTCTCGACCCAGCTCCTTCTGCGAGGGGCCCCAGGGCCCGACGTGGGGCGCCAACGCCCGGCTCGAACAAGTGGAGGCGCCAGGATCTTAGGCTGTTGCCCGCCAGGACTGAACACCTCTTTCCTGCCATCGCTCGGACGTCCATTCCCTGTGTTTTTTTCGGCTTCGTGCGTGGTTTTCGCCAGATGATCGAGGATGCTCCTCGATGGTCCTCGCCGAAGGAAAAATGCGCACGTCCGAGCGATGCCAAGCTTTCAGCCACGGCGGTCGAGCGGCGGCGGGGCGCGCCGCGGCACAGCAAGGCACGACGGCCGGGGGGCGCGAGCAGGCGCGCGAGGCGGCCAGAAGGGCCTGGGGCCGAGGGGGCCACGCCCAGGCACGAGGCGAGGTCAAGCTTGCACAACACGTCTCGCTGGACGCCCGGGGGCCTCGGCCCTCCGCCTGGCTGCCGTCTCTGCCCCGCCGGCTCCCTGCCTGCCGCACGGCCCGGCGCCGCCTGCCTCCCACCCCCCCCGAACCGCCCCCCCGCGCCCCCACTCCTCCTCTTCCTCCTCCTCTCCTCCTCTTCCTCCCCCTTCTCCTCCTCCTCCTCCCTCCTCCTCCCTCCTCCTCTCTCCTCGTCGTCGTCTCACCTCCTCCCTCTCCTCCTCTCTCCTCTCCTTCCTTACCTCCTCCTCCTCCTCCTCCTCCTCCTCGTCTCCCTCCTCCTCCTCCTCCTCCTCCTCCTCCTCCTCCTCCTCCTCCTCCTCCTCTCCTTTTGATAGTGGCTTGCGCCAGCCAGGCTTCATCACAGGCATCGGTGCCGCAAAGCAGATTCTACATTCACCTCCGGCACCCGCCCCCCCTACCCGCCCCCCCCTCCCCCGCCGCCAGCAGAGGCGACAATAACTACAGCTGTCGCGGTGAGATGATGTCACGAATGGGCATGAAAACGCTCACGTTGTGCATGCCAGCGTTGCCTCCAGCTTGCGAGAGGAGAGCGCAAACCGTCGGCAGCGATATCCGTTATGCTGTGGCTAGACTGCCGCCTTCAGCGATCTCGTGCTCAATCCCCGCAAGCACACTTTGCACATCTCCAACCATTCGTTAGGAGTCGATTTCATGTGCAGTATCTGGGACGCGCATTCGGAAACGGGGGCGCTTAGGAGGCCTCGCGCACTTCCCGTCCAACGGAGCGAAGCACTCTTGGGACCGTTTCACTTGAGGGCAGAACTCGAACGCAAAAGTAGGCTTTGCAACTTGCCTGGGAAGGTATATGCTCATCTCCGCTCTGACGCGTGGTCTCTTTCATGTAAGCAGCATTGGAGCGTCCATCATCAGATCGCTGTCGCATACTGGGCG